CCTCGCGAATTGGTCCATACGCACAGAGTTCGTAATGCGTCCGTAGAAGGTAGATACGGCCTTAGCCCCGACGCTCCAGAGCCTTTTTTGGCCGACGCCCCTGGTAGATTGACGAAAGTTGTTATATCGTTGTTTTGAGAAGCAGGCAAGCCCCAAGACGCTATCCACCTCCCCACGTAGCCTCGCAAACGGGTCCATACGCACAGAGTTCGTAATGCGTCCGTAGAAGGTAGATACGGCCTTAGCCCCGACACTCCAGAGCCATTTTTTGGCTGACGCCCCTGGTAGATTGATAAAAGGTGTTATATCATTGTTTTGGGAGCCAGGCAAGCCCCGAGACGCTACCCACCTCCTTATGTAGCCTCGCGAACGGGTCCATACGCACAGAGTCCGTAATGCGTCCGTAGAAGGTAGATACGGCCTTAGCCCCGACGCTCCAGAGCGATTTTTGGCCGACGCCCCTGGTAGATTGATGAAAGTTGTCATATCGTTGATTTGAGAAGCAGGCAAGCCCCAAGACGCTATCCACCTCCCCTCGTAGCCTCGCTAACGGGTCCATATGTACCGAGTGGAGACGGCGGAGCTGGGCTTAGTGCGAACAGGACAAGTCAGTGATGGTACGCACGTTGTTACGGAAAGGAGCGTACCGTGGACAACGAATTGTAGTGCGTGAAGATGGGCTAACGTATATTGTAGTGACGAACGAAGACAAGATTGTGCTGCCCGCTATCTACTGGCCGCTGGCGTTCAAAGAAGCCCACGACAGTATCTGGGCGGGCCATTTGCGAGGTCCACCTACTTACGAACGATTGCGCCGGATGTACTGGTGGCCAACATGCAAGAGACTGTGTTTCAGTGGGTTTCTGCCTGCCAGGATTGCGGCTCGCGGAAGGTCAGGCCAAAAGCAGTAGTGCCTCCTCTGCGAAGTGTCCGAGCGGGTGACGTCCGTGACCGCTGGGCCATTGATGTGGCTGGACCCCTGCCGAAGCCAATGCGCGGTAACCGGTATGTGATCGTCGGCGTTGAGTATACCACTAGGTATGCGGTTGCGGTAGCAGTGCCAAGACACACAGCGAAAGAGATCGCTAAATTTCTGATGGAGAAGGTGGTGTTTGTTTTCGGCCCAATGAGAGAAGTCATGATGGATGGAGCAGCAGAGTTTAATAGCAAAGCGACAGAAGAATTGTTGGCGTTGATGCAGGCCAAACAATCCACCCCAGTTCCATATAGACCCAATTTACTCGGCTTGGTGGAGCGATTCCACCGCACCTGGAAATATATCATTAGCCTGTACGTGGACGACAAACACGACGACTGGGATGACTTCTTGCCGTCGGCCCTGGACGCATACAACTTCTCCGTGCACACCACGCACGGGTTTCAGCCAAACGAGCCGATGATGGGGAGGAAACTACGGACCCCTGGTGAACTACTCAGGAAAACCGACTAGCACAACCACACAAGCCAATAGAAGCCTATCATGAGCTCTTGATCGATGATCTATAGAAGGCGCGCGCATTGGCAAAGGAAGCACTTGAACGGGAACAAACCAGGCAAGCCATCTATTATAATCAACGGCGCGTGAAACAAAAAGCGTCTTACATGCCAGGCCAACTAGTGTGGATCTATCGTCCGTCGACGGGACCGAGAATCACACCGGTGGAGAGGGCCAACGAAGGTCGTGGAGGCTGCTGTCTATGACAACTATCGCGTGCTTATGTTGGAGAACGGTGCTGAATTAGTTACGCACTGTTCGTTCTTACTACCTTACTTCTACCCGACCAATCTGTTGAAAAATATGGCCAAGGACATTGCGCTGGACTTGGATGAGGAGGCAGAAGCGGCTGATGATCAACTGGTTGGAGCCGGTAGCAAGAATCGAGAAACAACTGCTGTTGACGAGCCAGACTATATTAACAAAGATGACGGTGAGAATCTGGCGGAGATAACGGGTGCTGGGGACGGTGAAACGGCCGCGTGTCCGTTGCCGGTTGCGGGACCACGAAGCGAACCGCCTCAAGCGTACGGCGACCATCCGTCTGGCAATGAGCAACACCCCACTTCGCGGTCGGAGGTCAAGAGGCGACGCTCAGCTGACGAAGCTGAAACACCGAGCAGTGGCGACGGTGGACAAGAGCACTTCCGGCTAATCAAGCCACCTAGGCCAGCGATAGCTACGTCGGAAGCATTGGCTACAAATGACAAAAAGGGGTCCGGGACTAAGGAAGGTATCGCGGCCAGGACAAGGTCGCAGCTGCGGAGAGCACCATATCCTGCGACAAACACACCTGGTGATCAAGAACGAAGGGCAAGTGACGTTGGTCGAACTCCAGAGCAAGGTGCTGCCAACTGCGATGGCAGCCAAGGTGACGCCATCGACGATGGTAAGCAACTCCATGCGCCCGAACACGGGACCACAGCCGTCGCAACCCGCGGCGGAACGGCAGACGAGCGACGCGCCAGAGAACCAGGAACGGAAGCGGGGCATATCTAAGTGTTTGCAGCGAGAGGGCGACGTGGGGTTGACAGCCTGGCAGTCGCCAATTCCGGCGGGTTGTTCACGACGTCGCGCGAAAAGGTCAGAGAATGCCGTCGACGCAGATATCGGGCACGTTCAGGGCGTTACGTGCTGGAATTTTAGATTGAACGACTGGGTCATCGACCTGACGGCCAAGGACCAGAGCGAGTATGGATTAGCCAACACTGATAATAACTACTCTGGAAAGAAGGGCTCGTGTGTGGTGAGAGCCGTCGAGAGGACTACGCAGCCGGAACATACGATGGCAACACTCAACATGATGACTATGACACCATCGAGAACGATGGTGAGTCAAGGGGGAGACAGTAAGCAAGAACAATTTGAAGGGGGCCTGCTTGGGATGATGAGTGTGCCATGTGGGCCCGGGTGGCGAAGGCTACGAGAAACGGACGTCAACGGTTATTGGGAAGATCAAGGACAGCAGGTACAGAGGGGTTCAAGGGACAGTATACCGTCAGCTATACTTCTTTGTCGGTGGATGCAGTTGGTGAACAGCTTGCATGCCGGCAAGGAGCCCGGCCAATCAAAGGATGGACAAGAAAGAGTATATCAACGACAGAGATGCCGATGGCTTTGCTGAAAGGCCACCACAGCTGCACAATCGCAGTTTTGAAGGGGTCGCGCCAGTAGGGAAGAAGTAGTGTGAGATTTGGGCCGACGAACGCACAAGTCGAAAGCGTGAACAAGGCGGTGAGCTGCGAAGCCATCCGTCCAAGAAGAGAGCGCGGTTGCCGGTCTGGTGACAGCGTAAGCGAAACAGGCAACGTAAAACAAAGTCAATACATCGAGGTTGTCACCCAAGTGCCTTAGATTCAATAAGGAGAGAACTGTGAAGCCAGAGCGACTGTTCGATTGCAAGGAAACGTACTGATCGTTCTTGTCCGATAAGGACGCTGCTTATTGTATCCTCAAAGGTTTTCTGAGTAGCCAACAGCAGAGCGAACAGGTTTTGATCCTTAAAATTGAAGTTTTTCCTGATGTAGCTTCTACAAATTCGTAAAACTAAAACGATAACAGCAACAATTCAGTGAACAGGTTTTGATCTTAAAATTAAAGGTTTTCCTGAAGTAGCGGCTACAAATTCGTATAACTAAAACGATAATAACAACAATCACTACGGTGAACAGGTCTAGTCCTCTAAGGTTTTCCTGGGTAGCCAAAATAACAATGAAAACAAGAAATCAGCACAGTCCCTGCCAAAATAAAAACGGCAACAAGATGACAAATCTGACAATGACTGCCAAATGAAAAAGATCATTAATATCAAAACACGATCTACTTCTTGTAAATGTTCATGTACGTACAGGACTGTTATAAACAGCCGCATGTGGTACATTAAAAAACTATCCGACAGATAGAGCATCATACACATTCCTCGATGTGGGAGGCTGTTTGTAACGGGGTACGTAGCCCTAAGTGTACCCTAGTTACATGACGTGTGACACGTCATACTTCGGGATATTTGGTACAAAGTACCAAGGCCGTCCAAAGCCAACCATTGGTTGATGACATTGCATTTCTATAGGTGACTTATAGTTTGTATTAAACCCAAGCTTTATCTACCTATAAATATACTCAGTTTACATGCTACCTTAAATAGGTCACTTCGCTCTCTTTTGAATAAAGAGGGGACCTGTGAACTGCCGTTCACTGAGAGGGGACCTGTGAGCTGCCGTTCACTGAGAGTTTGTATACTATCGGAAGCTAACTTCATCTAGCGCAAGGTGCTGTGTGACCGTCACACTTGGTAGTACTCGTAGTCAATCCACGCCACCGCGGGTAGACTACCTGAACCTCTCCGAAATTCGTTGCCATGGATAGGAACGACTATTCCCATCTGAACGACTCTCAGTTCGAGTCGGTTCGGAAGATGGCAGGCATCTTCGGGATGGAGGATCTGCAGAGCCTGGTGGTGTCAACACCGGTCGAGCAGCTCGAGCGCGTCAATGCACTTGACGCGTACGAGCAGGGGCTTATCGCGCATGTGCGGGAGAACCTGCAGGCTCCGGCGGCGGAAGCAAATCTGCCTCACCCGAAACCAATACGGCTGAAGGTTAAGTCGTATGAAGGGAAGGAAGGCGGGAACCTTCACTTCTGGGTCCGAGAAGTGGAGCTCGCGATGGACGCGGCTCTGATCTTGACCGAGCAACTTCGTGTTGCTTTTGCACTCTACAACCTTAGCGGCCGTGCTAAGAGTTGGGTGTACACACGGGAAGCAACATCCCCTGGATGGTTCACATCCTGGGCTCAGCTGTGTGAACAGCTCCGAGCCGCATTCCTCCCGGCGCACTACGAGTACCGCCATCGTTCGCGCTTTCTCTCGTGCAAATAAGAGAGGCGTGAGCTGCACGAGTACGTGCAAAGCGATACAGGAGCTCACGGCGTCCCTAGTGGGAAACCCACTCAAAGAACACATCTAGATGACTGTGTTCATGGACGGCCTTCGAGTGGACCCCGCACGCACTCAGCTGCTCCGGGTGCAGTCAAACACCCTTGAAGAGGCGGTTTAAGTGGCTCTTCAAGAAGAGTACAGCCATCGCCAGACGCGTACGCCGGTCTCAGCGTGGCCTGGGAGCTTCTTGTCGGCTCCCGGTCAAACAAGCCCCAACAGACCAGCTCCCATGGAACTCGGGTCCGCCGAACAGCGTGACATCCGCTGCTTCGGCTGTGGAAAGATGAGCCACTTCAAGCGCCACTGTCCCGCGAAAAGACTCCGCAGATGGTCTTTCCACAAGCCCGTCCTCCAGGGTCGCTGGCAGAAGCCAGGACCCCGGGGACAGGGGAACGCCGGGAGCCAGTAGGGGCGGGGCGCCCTACTGGGGAAGAACTACGTCTTCGTGATGGGTGCGCGGGTGGCGCGTACCACGGGGACTTAGTCCCTGAGAGTCTTCGCACTCTCGAATCAGCGAAGAGCAGCGGCGGGTTGCTCGTAATACATGGTCGTGCGGGGATACGATCATCCCTTTAAATCTTGATCGATTCTGGGTCGTCGAAGAATTTCGCACGCCGCGAGACAGTTGCTCGTAATAGCAACAAGCTGTCCGATGCTTTGAGAGAAAGCAAGGGCAACGGGACCGTGTCAGTGCGACTGGCCGACGGGAAGGTCGTCACCGTCCCCAACGTCCAAGTGGATCTGGCCGTCAAGTTTAAAGACTTTGACAGCCTCGCACAGTTCACTGTTCTCGATATGGATCCATATGATATGATCCTGGGCATGCCCTGGCTTGAGAAGCACGAGCCCTGGATCGACTGGCGAGGTAAGGCAATCGGTGCCAGCCGCCCTGCGCAGTCCGACAGAGCATTGGTGAGTCATGTTCACACCTCAGTCAGGGCCCGGGGCGCCCGCAACGGTTGCCAGGGTACCAAAGCATCCGGCAGATGCTTGGGAGTCGTCGACGTATACAACGACTCAGATGTTTTTTTATGGTGGTAGCGCCCAGAAGAGGCGCTGGCCAAGTGAGTAACTTAGGTCCCTAAGCGGGTAACATTGTTCCGCAGACAGCTGCAGCTGTCACGAACACTAAGAACAGCGTGTTCAGAGTGGGTAACTGAGTTCCACACACGGTCGCCCAGACCTTAACTGAAGAGGAAGGCGTCGGACACGCTTCCTGTGTGGGTACCACAGTACCACACGAGGCCACGAGTGCCTCGGATGTCGCAGCGCCGCCATCCCCAGACGTGGGCAGCAAAGCTCCACGTCACGGTCGCCGTCGACGACGCCGCCGCCGCCTCAAGTCGGATCCGAACTTCGTTCCGATCGACGTCGCTTCAAGCGACTCGGAGTCCAGGGCCCGGGCTCATCCGACAAGGCCGGTAGAAGAGTGTTATCACATCTTCGATGGCGAGACCGGTTAACCCGTCAAGGCACCTGGTGTCCACTTGGAACCGTTGTCAGAGGTTGCAGAGATACTGAACCTCGAGGAGATGACGGTCGGGTCTTTCCTGGCCACCCTCAAGGCTGGAGCGATTGCCGAGATGGTGCTCATGAGACCTGAGACCACTCGGGAGGAGCTGAACGCCTCCTCTGTCTTGGACGAGAACGTCCTGGTTGACCTAAACAAGCAGCGTCAGACGCGCTTGGGTTCTGAGATCCTTAAGAACCCCAATGATCCGGTGTATCCTTTGGTGACGGAGTATGCGGACATGGTGAGCAAACACCCACCGACCCAGCTCCCACAGGATCGAGGCGTACGGCATGAGATTGATCTCGTGCCTGACACAACGTATTGTGTCACGAGGCAATGGCCTCTCCCGCACGAATAGTGCGAGGTCATTGATGCATTCTTCACCGCGAAAGCGAAGGCAGGCATGGTGCGGGAGTTGAAATCCCGGCACTCGACGCCAACTTCCTCCGCTCGGAAGTCGAAAGGAAAGTGGCGTCTAGGTTACGCTTATAACAAGCTGAGCAACGCAACGATGCCGGCCCGAACACCAATCCCACGAAAGAATGCGTTGTTAAACAACATGACCGGAAGCGTACTGTACAGTGCGCCGGATTTGGTAGACGGATACTACCAGATCCTGATGCGAGAGAGCAAGGTCCAGCTCACCGCGGTAAGCACTCCAAGCGTCATGCTTTGGGAGTGGCTCGTCATGCCGCACGGCTTGTCTAACGCCCCGGCAACGTTCAATCGCCTGGTGAAGCAATTGTTCCGCCCACTACGTGCCTTCGTACAGACGTACTTCGACGACATCTCCGTCCATAGTCGTGCCGAGGGAGAAAAGACGTTCATGGAGGTGCATCTGGGGCACCTCCGTCGAGTGTTGGACGTGATGTGAGCGAACAAGTTATACACCAACATCGACAAGTGCATCTTCGCGTAACCAGAGATTAAGGCTCTCGGTTGCTTCGAAAGCAACGTGGACGTTCGGGCTGACCCTGAAATGGTCAAGGCCATAGCAGCATGGCCAACGTCCCGATCCCAGAAGGATCTTCATGAGTGGTTGGGCTTTGGCCAACTACCTTCTCAGGTACAGAGCAGGGTATGCGGGCTTCACTAAGCCCTCGTCGGGCCCCCTTCAGAGGGACGTCGACTGGCACTGGGAGCAAGAGCACCAGGATCCTTTGACAGCATCAAGGCCAGTCTCCCAGAGGCTCCTGTCCTGGCCAGCCGGACGAGACGAAGCGGTTTAGCGTCGTCTGCGATGTGTCTAATTACGCCATCGGGTGTGCGCTGCTGCAGGCCAACCCGGCTGGACATGAACGAGTCATCTCGTTTCAGTCCAGGCATGTCAAAGCCGCCGAACGGAACTACCCTGTCCAGGACCAGGAGCTCCTGGCAATGTAGTATGCCCTTGTGAAGTTTCGGGCTCACGTTCTGGGTTCATGGCCCTTCGTGATCTACACAGACCACGCATCCTTGAGGACGGCGACAAATTCGCCTCACCTCTCCCAACGAATGGTGAGGTGGGTGTCCTTCTTCACGGAGTACAATTTCCGCGTCGAGTACAAGCCGGGCAAGTTCAACGTGCTTGCGAACGCCCTCTCTCGGCGTCCTGACTATGGGTTGGCCCACATCACACGGGTGACAACGGATCTATATGATCGGATACGCATGGCGTATCGGGAAGATGAGGCTGGCGCGCCTATCGTCAAGCTCCTCGCGGCAGGAACAAGCGCGAAGTCCGAC